CCCAATGTATTCCTATGGTATTTCTGGACTCTGTTCACACCAGTGCAGTGGGGAGAAAATTCTGCATGCATTATTTTTTGTTTGGTCTAGAATGCACCAAAACAAATGTAAACACATGAAAAACTCACTGCACTTGTTTGCAGATCTGCTCCGAACATGGTGTAAACAAGTCCATAGCCCATTCTGACCTGTGGGCTGCTGCAGCTGTGAACCCAGCTCGGAGTACTTTGGAATTTTATTCTATCACTATCAGGGGCGTAACTAGAAATCCCAGGGCCCCATAGCAAAATTTTGTATGGGGCCCCGTGATTTCTAGTTATACCCCTTGCGGAGCCCACTTTAGATCCCACACAGCCCACCTGAGGGTGACCCTGCAGAGCCCACCATAGACTCTCTATGGTGGGCTCTGCAGGGTCACCCTCAGGTGGGCTGGTCGCACTCCTTACCTGTCCACCCCCTCTTCCTCCGCAGTCGCTGATGGGCCCCGCCTCCTCCGTTGCAGGGCCTGCCTCCTTTGCCAGGCCCCACCTCCTCCCCTGCTGCCAACCACGGGCCCCGCCTCCTCCACTGCCGGGTTTAGCCTGCTCCACCGCCACTGCTGTCTCTCATTGACTCTGGAGAGGAACGCGCTGCTGCACAGATTACTGTCAGTGATCTGAACCGCAGCGCATTCTTCTTCACAGCCACCAGGAGAGGATGCCATAGCGACCCAGGCTGCCCGCACGGCATCTGGCCGGGCCCCACTGTGCCCCGGGCCCCACTGTGCCCCGGGCCCCATAGCGGCCGCCTGGGTCGCTATGGTGATTGTTACGCCACTGATCACTATAATCCGCACTTCTGCTGTATAGTATATAAAGTTTCAAACAGCTTCTGTGCTCTCAGTAATTAAAATCACTGAGTTGCCTACTTCCTCTCACTATCAATCCTGATTTGCTCTGCAGTGGTCTTGGTCTCAAAGTAGGCAACATGAGACCAAAAGGGGTGATTGCAGTTTTCATCCTAGGTGGTTTTAGCTGGGGGTTTTTATGGCTGTAATTGCAAACAAAGGGGTATCTACCAATTATTGATTTAGAAGGCAAGAGGGTGTTTATGTAATCAGCAGATGTATGTATTTGTTTAACTTTTGTTTAATAATAAAAAATATTTAGCAGTTTCAAATATGTTGTCTAAATGAAGTGATACAACGCACACACATGCTGTAAATATGCACATTACTGTAATACTGAAGAGCAGTATCCCAAGCTGGCTAAGCCTATGCTACTCCATTGACAGTATAAAGAGCTAATGCTTTTTCTACACACACTACAAGTGATACCTGCATTGCTGAATGTAAGCAGAATAAACTTCAGCTTTAACAATCTAAAAGGGACCAAATAAGAGAAGTTCGTTGTTAGGATTTATATACCCAGAATGGACACTTTGACATGCATACACACCCATGCAAGAGCTGCATGGCATTTCTTAGGGTGAGTTTCTTGATCGTGACAACAGCGGGCCATGCCTGTGTAATATGTGGTAAAATGATCACTTGTGGGTAGGGCTGCAACTAACGATTATTTTCATAATGGATTAGTCGGCGGCCGATTACCCCCCCCCCCCCCCCCATCTTTTATTTAAACTAAAATACACAAATGGAGTGTTACAAACATAAAGTTTACTTCAGAATAAAATGGTATGCACTTTTTTTCTGCACTCGCACCACGCTGAAACGCATGGCATTGCAGTACTGCGTGGTCCGGTGCAGGTGATCACACTGCAGCCGGGAGGGGTGTTTGGGATGCCATTGAAATTAATAGCACCACACGCACATCCAGAAGCAGAATTTGCAGGCCAAAACCAATAATGGAGCTTGCCACCATATTAAAATATATATATAATATATGCATATTGGTCAGAGAATTATTGCACTCTGGTGCACGCGGCAATACCTGACGTGTAGCGCAATCATCCTTTTTCTACGTAGGTACACCGGACTTGTGTTTCCATTAATATGTGTGCGATTTTGGGGGGTATTTTTTTAATTAACTTTATTTTTTACTTTTTCCCACCTCATTGCTATCACATAGGGGGCTTGTGAGTCCCCCATGTGATATCACATTGGAGGTGACAGGTTCTCTTTTTCTCTTTAAGGTGACAGTGTCTTTTAGACCCCTAGTGTCACCTTTCCACTTCACTGGGGAATGACAGCTGCCTACTAAGCCAGCTGAATGTCAACACAGCAGGCAGTGGCTGGGAGCAATAGCCAGCCTGATATTGGCTATTTGAATCGCAATAACAGGCTAGCTATTGCAACCGCCCACCGCAATAGCTAGCCTGCTTCACTGGGGAATGTCATAATTATATATAATATAAGGCCAGTCATCAAGTGAGTTAGCGGGGGTAGGAGGAAACAGAGCCCATGAGACACCGGCTCCCAGCAGGGAGGAGAGAAGCAGAATCAGCTAACCACTAATGAGAATCGTTGATGATGAAATCGATTCATTGTTGCAGCCAGCCCTAATTTATTTATAGTTTTCAGACTTTGAACACTAAAATTAGGGATGCACCAATACCATTTTTTTCAAGACCGAGTATGAGTACCGATACTTTTCCTCGAATACTCACTGATACCAATTACCAATATTTTTTTTGTGTGTGTATGTCATGTGACAGTTTTTCTAAAACAATGCAGACTAATTATTTTAGGGCAGTGGTGGAGAGCCAGGGGCCGGTCCCAACTTCAAACCCTGTGCCCCTGGTAGCTCTGCCACTCACGCCAAGCTGTAGACGGACCACAGATCTCATTATACAGCATTGCAGAATGTCATCAGCTAGAGCGAACTACAAATCCCAGCAATGCCGAATGGCAACCTGCTATAGAGGACTACAAATCCCAGCAATACATTATGCAGCAGTGCAGAATGGCATCGGCTTTCCAGAAAAATATTTTCAGATTCCATCTTATTTCCATCCACTTCCAAAAAAAAAAATACAATAATTCCTTTCCTAGTTTAGGATAGGAACAATGGGAAATGTATACAGTGAAGCCTGGTACCGTTGATTATGGCTATGGACATTTCGTACATAATTCTTAGACAAAACTTTTTTTTTTAGTAGAAAAGTATAACTAGAGGTGCACTGAAAGGAAAAAAAAATGTCGGCCCGAAAATGTTTTTTTTCTAACTTTTTAAAACTCAACTCCCTCCGAAGGTTTTCTATGGGGTTGAGATCTGGAGACTGGCTAGGCCACTCCAGGACCTTGAAATGCTTCTTACGAAGCCACTCCTTCGTTGCCCGGGCGGTATGTTTGGGATCATTGTCATGTTGAAAGACCCAGCCACGTTTCATCTTCAATGCCCTTGCTGATGGAAGGAGGTACACCCTCTGTTTCTGCTGGTAGCCATTGACACCGACACAAAAGATAATCGGAAATCCAAAATTTGTGTTCACACATAGTGCAGTAACCTGCGTTGGATCACACTGTATCAATGTAGGTCACAGCTAGGACACTTAGAAAACAATTGTTTTCTACTTGTTTCATTCACACTACAACACAGTGTGTGATGTGCTGCGATAAACTGCAAACATGGTGCATTTTATCGCATCACCTCGCACCCCACTGTCATGCAGGGACCTGAATGGAGTATACACATTGTACACTCCACATAAAGATGAAAAAACAAGTAAACAGTGACCGTCCCAGTAGTGTGCGATACAATGTACACTGCTGGAGCTGTCACAGCACACTAGCCTGTCTGCTAATGCTAGTGTGAATGGGCCCTAAGGGTGCCCCTGAGCAGCTTGATCTCAATTAGCTTGAATTTCATCTGATTTTTGCTGAAGAAAGTGGATTTAAATGGTCGAATACGTGCCTGTGATGTGTTTGGTCAACTTAACTGAGAAGAGGGAACTACATGAGCCAGTTTTAATCTGTCAAGTGTGGAGAAATCTGTCTGTCTTATCTTTTGGCAGCCTTAGGCATCTGAATGAAAAACTCCTAAAAGTTATATTGCCCTTCTCGTCTAAATAAATACTGGAGCCTCCTGTTACCTGTGTTTTGCTTATTGTGCTTCATATGCAGAATAAAGCCCTTGGTTTTTTACACTATTGCAGTTTTCAGGGTCATATCCTTTATTCTAGAGCTTCACTGACTTTTAAACTTTTATAAAGAAATTACGATGTAAAAGGTTGTGTGCACGTTAAAGAATAACTAAGCGCAAAAACAAAACTGGAGCAGACAATCTGGAGCAGTTGGCCATGGCAACCAATCAGCTTCAATCTTCTTCTTTTTTTTTTTTTTAAAGATTAATGGAACAATTTGAAGAGTGAAGCTGGTTAATATGGGTAACTGATCCCGATGGACAAAATAATATGGCATGCTGGAGCCAGTTTCTCCAACCCTGGAGCCAGTAGTGTTTTTTTTTTAGGGCCCCAGCTCCATTGACAAGTGTAGTCGCAGGATTACCAGGTAAAAGAGGGGGAAAAAAGCATGTAAAACAAATGCAGTCACCTCAACTAAGGACTGGTAAGCTAAATATTTTTTTAAAGTATGAAATAAGACAATTTTTGCATAATGTTTTTAAACTGTAGCATCCATTTATTGGTGCTTATGCTCTGCAAATACTTGAAGCCCTATGTAAAAAGCTGAAAAGATGTGTAAGGACCCATTCACACATCCATTTTCATGCAGCAAAACTCATGCATTTTGCTGCATGGAGATGCATTGCAAGTAGGAGTCCCATTATTTCCTACGTGGCTGGTATACATCAATGTGAGGCAGTTAAATGTGAAGGGTGAAATATCTGGGCCTATTCCCACCTACACATGTGCATTATCGCGGGTGCTGCCTGTACACGGAATAGTGTGAATCCAACCTTCATTTCACAGCAACTGATCAGGTTCTAGCAGTGTTTTTACCATGCCATGAAAAAGAATGACAGCAGTTGATTTTTACCCTAGTTTCATAATGGACTTGATTTGTAATGTTTTATTATAGTATCTCTTATGATTTCTGTTTACAGTTGGCAACCATGGAGGATCATGCAGTTACACAGACGGATAATCTGACAACCATTGAAGCGCACACTGTGGCTCACTCTGTAGCTCAACAAGTACAGCAAGTCCATGTTGCCACATACACAGAGCACAGTATGTTAAGTGCTGATGAAGATTCTCCATCCTCGCCAGAAGACACATCTTATGATGACTCTGACATCCTCAACTCCACTGCAGCCGACGAGATAACTGCCCATCTGGCAGCTGCTGGTAGGAGCGAAGTGCTGATAAATAATGCCAGTTCTGCTTAGTCAGAACATTGTTTTTAGCTAGTATTAGTGCTTGTCAAGTAATGCCTTTTGCATTCAAATGCAGGGCCTACTCAAGCACATGCGTTTAGAGACAAAACACAGCAAAAGGCCGCGTTTCACCTTATTTGCCTGCAGGGCAAATGCATCTCTGTAGGAATCGGCTACATGTCATGCAAGTGTAACGCAAAGCAGGCTAAATGCAGCTTCAGAGCTGTCATCCACAATACACCGTTCAAATAAATGCAAATCTGGTGATATGCATGTTGACATGCATTTGTAATGCAGTTAAACACCCCCCTTCCACATGAGCTCTGTTATCTGTTGCTTCATTGTCAAACTCCAATGCATAATGAGGAAGCAATCTCAACACACACACAAAAGTCAAAATAAAAAAATACTTGCACATTGTGATACATTTTACATCTATAAAAATGTGTTCACAATATAAAATAACACCCTTTAGTTCAATTTTATAAACTGTTTGTGTAATCTCCTCTACAATGAGATGTGTGGCTCAGAGTAGCCAACGCTTTCAACCAATCGCCAGTAGCTGCAGCAAGGGTTTGTATAAGGACTACATCTCCCAGCCTGCTTTTCTCCTGCTTGGAGAGGATATGTTCAACCCTCTTTACAGATAGCACAGATGTCTATGTGACACTGAGCATTAAAATGAAATCTGTGCAAAACGAATCATCAGATGGAAAATGAGAGATCAAAAGGAAACAAACACATTTAACACGACTTTGCTAACCACTTGTGTGCCTAAACGCTCTTACACACTAACCACTTTTATGTAAAATCCAAGAGAGCTGATAGAAATCAGACAATCCGAACCCAAACATAAAAAAAATGCTTTTAGAACACACTGAAGGAGGATTGTACAGTAAAGGGTGAAAAATTGCGGATGTGAGTTCGGACATACCGGTGGAAGTTAGATGACAAACTCTACCTGTTATAAATCTCGGGTGATTCAAAATGTGCCTATGATGAAAAATTGTCAGCAGTGGCCATCTTCAATTAAAACTGCCTGTCAACATTATTAGCAGCTGAGGTTCTATGCAAAGCTCAATGTTTTCTGTGAGTTACAGTGGCCAAATGACTATCTTTAATTCATCAGTCCAGAAGACCTGGGCTTTGTCTATATGTCCAGTGACTTTTCTTTGCTGTCTAAATAGAGAGCAAGCAATGTTTCTGGTACGAGAAAATATATATCAAAGCGCTAAAGGTGTAACTAATAAAAGACTTAATGTGAAATTTTAGGTTTAGGCGGTCTAGCTCTAAAACAAGTGATGTGTCTTACATGGAATCATAAAAAAATTATATAAAATAAAAATTAAAAAATAAGTTGGAGACCGTTTGGATGAGGAGGCTTCCCTTGCACCTTGTGCCCCAGAGACTCTGGAGGTGGAGATAGAGTCTGAGTGAACAGCAAGTAACACGGGTGCCAGATCAGACACAGGAACACACTGAAGTCTTCACAGGAACACACTGAAGTCTTCTTCAGTGTGTTCCTGTGTCTGATGTAGGTTTCCTGTTCCTGTGTTTTGACCTGGATATTCTGGTACGCCTTCCATGCAGGCTAAATGAGTGCAGTTTTTCTTTCTTTTTGTAGATGCATGCACTTTGACCTAATCTGTTACAAGAGTTACCTACAGATCCTGCGTTTACATTTTTGGGTCCATGGTGACGACTTTTTGCCTCAGTTGTTTAGAAGTCAACGGCGCTTATTATTTTCCTTACAGTGGAATGACAACTGATTTCAAATAATCTGCCAATCTTTTTAAATCCCTTGCCAGACTCCTAAGCGTTCACAGCTATAGTGTGTGCATCCAATCAACGCCTATCTTATATAAAGAGAAGATAAATATCCATCTTTGGTGCAATGGGATCTTTTTAGTTAAGGAGCTATCATAAATCGTCAGTTTTCTTAGCCATGAGTTCATATTTTTGGAGCCAAGTTATACTTTGACAGGAAGGTTTCATAATATATATATATATACACACACA